ACAGCGGCTTCAAACGTTGATAGCGTTCTGCTCACAGCTGCAAATGACTTGATTCAAATTGGATCTGGAGCGTCTTCATGTCGTCTACAATTAGCAATTTATATTGCACGATTTGATAAAGAATTGACGACACAGCGTCGGTTTGAACGAACGGTACTATGGCAGCCACTATAGTCTTAGAACACAAGATAGGAAGAGTTAGGGAGAGTTACGAGTTGGGAATGACTCCCAGCTCCTACAAACCCCAAGAGCCGAGGTACAGTGATGTGGAACAGTGCCACACTGTCCCCAACCACGAAGGGTCTCGAAACTACCCTTCACTAGGGCCTACACCAAGTGAAATGTTACACTACACAAAGTAATGTAACTATCTTCAATATCTTGAGGTGTACCCTTTTTGGCGAGCTTCGAAATCACTTGAGGCTTGACACCAAGGCTCGGGCTCTTCATCACAAACTCATCCTTGAGTTCTTAATGGGTCTGCTGCACACACCTGCGACACGCCGAACGTTCGACACAGGACAAAATAGAAACCGCGCACGACAAAATAGAAACCGCGCGCGAGACACAAACGACCGCGTAACACGCGTCTAGCGATAACTCGCTATTGACTCGACACACACACTCGACATCATGACTCAACATTCACACACAATTATAAGCATGAAATATATATTATCCCATGCCCTCATACCATTCCATACACACACACATTCACGCACACGGACAACAAGCCGAGTGCAAACCGTAGGGTTGTACCAACAATTCACATACCATTCCTGAAGCAGAACGAATACGTGCGTTAGTAACAATACAACATTCGGCAGCAGCAGAGACAACATCGGCAGCAACAGAGACAACATTGGCAGCAGCAGAGACAACATCGGCAGCAGCAGAGACAACATCGGCAGCAGCAGAGACAACATCGGCAGCAGCAGAGACAACATCGGCAGCAGCAGAGACATCATCGGCAGCAGCAGAGACATCATCGGCAGTAGCAGGAACAACAACAGTAGCAGCAACAACGACACCACTCCTCGTTGACGAAGCACCACCAACACCCGCACAGCAGCTGTATCCGGCTCAACGGGAAGTCCATAGAAGCGCAAACTTCACCGCCAGCTTCTACTCCAACTCCGACGCGTATCGACGCTCACCCGGACACCGCGCCTCCGAAGACATCTGGCACGCACGCATGGGACACCCAAGCAACACTGTGTTAAACAACACAATAAGAGCAGGAGTCCTTGACAAGGACTCGTTACTACTACTCGACGGCAGAGAACTTCAACGGGCATGAGGAACATGTCTTACCTGCCCCGAAGCCGACTTACCACATCGGCCGTTCACTCCTCATCACAACCCGAGCACACCCGCGTACGCACCACTCGAAAAGGTGTATAGCGACATCCTGTACAATCGGGAACCAGGACAAGTAATATACAACTACACAATCACCTTCATCGACGCCGCCACCCGTTACGTCTGGCATCTAAACCTACCCAGCCGCGACATGGTCCTCGAAGCATTCGCTGCTTGGCTACCAGTAGCAGAAAGAGAGTCGGGCGTAAAGCTGAAAAGCTTCCAGTCTGACGGAGGAGGAGAATACACCTCTCAGCGATTCAAGCAGTACCTGGCGGAAAGGGGAATCAAGCAGCTCCTCTCTCTTCCCTACGCCCATCAGCAGCAAGGTGTAGCAGAAAGAATGAACAGGACTCTGCAGAACAGCATGCGCAAACTGTTGCGTGGCATGCGGCTACCCAAGCACCAGTGGCCTGACGCGATGGACCACGCTGTCATGCTGCACAACTTGCTCTCATCTTCATCACTACCGAACAACGCATCACCGCATCTGCTGTGGACAGGAAAACAGGGCAGCACAAAAATGTTACGAGTGTTCGGATGCATGGTACAGTACCGACCCCCAGCAGCACGAGCGGGCCGATTTTCACAACGCGCACAGTGGGGACTACACCTCGGCATCGAAAAGAACTACAACGCGTGGAAAATCTTTGACGTCCACTCCAAGGAAACAGTAGCAGCACGCGACGTCATTTTCTACGAACGACTCACGCTCCAGACATACCTTGCCAACCTGCAAGAGGACCAAGATCCCACAGGTGGTTTTCGTGGTGACCGAGCCTTCGCCTCGGCAGCAGACGAAGCTGACTGGGACGAGCAGAATGTGGCCAACGCATCAGAAGAAGCTGGACCCCTTCCGTTCTGCTCCGTCGACGTCCCCATGGACGAAGATAACCCTCGCGAAAGTGTCAACGCCGAAACCTTCTACTACTTCGCCGACAACGGTTACGTAACACCTGCGACAGTCAACACCAACGAAGCAGAACGAGTAGGACCGAATTTCATACCTGATCCAGAAGCGGGAGATGAAGCAGCTTATCCCGAGGATGCAACTCTTCCCCGCTACTCACAGACTGGACTGCAGATTCTCGGACTCGTCACCGCAGTCCACGGCAACACTCTTCCTAAGGAGCCTGCGACGGTTCAGCAGGCTCTGGGGGGGGAACACAGGGAAAAATGGCGTGAAGCCATGGACAGAGAGTTAAAGGCGCTGGAGGAACGGAACACCTGGAAAGTTGTCCCCATCAGCGTGGCAAGGAACAAGACCATTCTCACCGGGAAATGGGTCTTCCGCGTTAAAACAAAAGCAGACGGCACAATTGAGAAGTTCAAAGCACGCTGGGTTGTGCGTGGATTCGATCAGGAGCACGGACGGGACTTCACCGAGACATTCGCCCCGGTTAGCCGACATACCTCACTTCGAATCCTCCTCGCGATCGCCGCCATGAAGAAAAGGAAGCTACGGCAAATCGATGTCGCCAACGCGTTCCTCTACGCACCTGTCGACGTGGAAATCTTCGTCGAGCTCCCACACGGTACCAACGGGGAACCTAACCAAGTCTGTCAACTGCTGAAATCACTTTACGGGATCAAGCAAGCTCCGCGGCTATGGCAACAGTACCTACACGCTCGCCTCATTCGCATCGGATTCCGCCAACTACCTCACGACCAAGGAATGTACCGACTCACTAAAGACACCGACTACATTCTGCTGATCGTCTACGTAGACGACCTACTCTACATCGGCTCCACTGACGACATCACCACCTGGTTCGAAGGGGAGCTACAGAGGGACCTCACACTCACGGTCTCCTCTACCGTCACACAGTACCTCGGCTTGAACATTCGGGAAGAAGAAGGCGCGATCTACCTCAACGCCGCTAAGTACGCCGACACCATCGCCAAACGCTTCGCGCTCACACCTACCACCATCTCTACGCCCTACCGCTACGCGACAGGAAACCACAAGGAAGGATCCTCTCTACTCAAATCCGCCGGGATACGCGACTACCAGAGAAAGCTAGGATGCCTTCTCTTCGCAGCTGTCACCTGCCGCCCCGACCTCTCATACTCCGCAAGCTAGCTCGCCACCTACCTCAAGAAGCCTGAAGCAGAACACCTGGCGGAGCTCGACCGCGCTCTCCACTACTTCGTCAGTACCTCAACGATCGGCCTAACTTACTACAAGAACACAACTACACCGACTAAATTAATCGGCTACGTCGACGCTGATCACGCTGGCGACTCCGACAACAGGCGCTCCCGCACCGGCTACATCTACCGCCTCGAACCTATCGGACCGATCTCCTGGCAATCGAGCAAGCAGGAATTAATTGCTCTCTCGTCAGCTGAAGCAGAATATATTGCACTCTGCTCAGCCACCAAGGAAGGACTCTATCTTCGCGAGCTGCTGGAAGAAGCGAAGTTAGCCGAGTTACCCAACTTCACTCTGTTCTGCGACAACCAATCTGCAATTCGCATCGCCAACAAAAATGGATTCGCGAACAGAACGAAGCATATCGCTCTGCGATATTTCTTCGTGAAAGACGAGATTGAGAAGGGGAGACTTGAACTATCCTACTGTCCCACGTCCGAGATGGCAGCTGACTACTTGACCAAGAAGCTCGGAAAACAGAAGTTCGAGTACTGCATGCTGCTGACTGGACAAAGCCACGTCACCAGCAGCGACACTCCAGAAGCGAAGGGGAGTGTTGGGAACAAACAATCTTAAGCGCCTCTGTCGTGTCGAAACACCAAGGCACAAGCGAAGCAGAGCATATCGAGGCACCAGCGAGTCAACCCTCGGAGGTTGAAGTAACCGCTGGAGGTTACGCGAAAGTCAAAGGTCAGTGACCTTTGACTTGACAAATGCAGCGCGACAGCAAGGACACACAACTGACTCGACATTGAGCAGTTGCCCGAGTCGCACTGTATCGAACCGCAACAGTAAAACAGTTTAATTATATCTCTTCGTATTCTTTGTACTCTTATATAAACCTGTGTACTTGCTTGTTTTAATCAACTTACTTTGCCCTCACATACCAGCGCAAGGTGGTTCAAGGACTTCATTTAAACGCTTCCGCTACTACATCACTCTACCCAGAGTTTAACCCTACCAAAGATCCTAAGGGGCACTCAGCCCAACAGTGCCTACTTTGCCTCACTTGCTCACTACGTGACTTTGCTTGTACTGTGATCTGTATATATACCTGCATGCTTACACTTGCTAGGGTATGATCACTGTACTGCTTGTTCTCTTTTATATAACTCTGCATGTGAACTGGCCTTGTGGCCATTTGCTTGTGCTCGGAATGTGTGGTGACTACGTGATCTACCCTGAGCTTGCTTTTCTTTTCTTGACTGGTCTTGTGGCCACTTGTTCTCCCCCACTTTGCCTATGGGGGTGTGTCAAAATGTTGTATAGCTTATATTGTGTAGACTATAAGGGGTACAACCCAATTAGGGTTAGTACTTGTACCCAAATCATTCATAGTTCATTCATTCTCGTTCTATAGTTAGACACTCCCGACAGCCCTACTCATTATAGCCTATCAAAGACAACAGCTGCTATGATTATTTTCAGCCAATACCAGCTGGGAAAACAGGGGAATGTACAAATGTTACACACACACAACTTGCTATCCGTAACCACATGGCAACCCATGGCCGCCGGCTGCAACCACAAGCACAGAAGAGAGCAAAGAAACTTGAGAGTACACCCACACCACTTGACACCTGTATCTGGTGCATCATGCTGAAACCACCACTGCCACTGATGCCACCACCACTACTACCTCCGCTGACATAGCACATAAACATCTTTCCACTCATCCTCCAAGCAAGGCGACTGTGACTGCAGCCACTGTCTCCTCCACCCTTGCTGCAAATGGGGCTTCTTCCATCACCCATACCACTCTTGGTACATAGGCAGTGACTGCTGCTGTCGCTGCTGCCAGTGCATCTACTCTTGGAATTGCTGTCACTGCTGCAGCTGTCACCACTGTCATAACAACTGCAGCTGTAATAAAAGCCACCACCACCAGCGTCACTGCTGCCACTGCCAGCACCACTGTTGCCAGTCAATATAGTCTCACCAACCCCACTACAACCACTGCTACAGTCAGTGGTGCTACAGTCAGTGGGACTACATTCAGCGGTAATACAGTTGGTTGTGTTACAGTCAGCAGTGTTACACTCAACGGTGCTACAGTCAGTGGGGCCGATACTCCCACAGCAGCCAGCACCCCAAGCACCACCTGGAGAGCCGATGTCTACCTCTGCAACCTCACTGCACCTCTGCGCAGCACATTCATGCACTGATGCTTTCAAACACGCCTTACCCTCCACCTCTCCACCTCTACGGTGAGTCCCACGTCTGCTCTCTTCCAATAGTTTTGGATTGCAAGGCAAGGAGGTGTGAGTGTGACTCGCTTCAGTGCCAATGCTTCTCCTCCCGCTCCCACTCCCACTCCCCTTGGTCAGCCCAGGCATTTTGCCCTCTTCTTCTGTTTCCTCGCACCTGCATTCACTCCCACGCACCATCTCCTGAGTAGCTAGCCTGCCAGCAGCACCGGCACTGCTGCTCTGACAGCACGCATCAGCATGGCTGCTTTTGCAGCGACTGTTGGGACTGCTTGGGTGGCACTCAGGACAACCCACCTCACGCCCCACCTCATGCTGCCCAACCTCGCCTTCCACTGGATGGCTTTTCACACATGCCTTAACCACATGCATCTCTCTCATGAAATCCTGCACTGTTGCTTCCCAGCGCGCTTCCTGTCCTTCAACCTCACCTCTCACTGCTGCCTCACTATGGCGTGTGCTCTGTTCCGGTGGCTCTGGGTTGAAAGGCAAGGAAACGTGACGCGCCGTAGCGCTGACACTTCTCCCCGTGGTCAGCCTGTGCACCTGCTCCACCTCTGGTGAATTATCACTCCTGCTTGCACTCTCACCCACCTTCTCCTGCACAGCTAGTCTGCCAGCAGCATTGGCACTGCCGCTCTGACAGGAAGTATGGGGACTGCTGGCATGGCACCCAACGCAACACCCCACCACATGCTGCCCATTCGCGCCTTCCTTTGGATGCGTTTCCACCCACGCCTTTTCCACATGCACCACTCCATCACTCGCCTTCCTCTCTACTGTAAGACCCTCCCCACTCCTGCTTTCACCCGTTCCACCCCTGCAGTCAGTCTTACTACCCCCCTCACGCACCACTCCCTCTCCGTTCTCCCTCGTCTTTTCCTTCCCCCACTCCCTCTCTTGGCTCCCACACTCGCCTCCACACGCTGCTCTCACCCATGGGTGTTTCAGCACCTCATGAGCCTTGAGCCTTCGCCCTGGATCCGTTACAAGTAGACACCTTAACAGCTGCTTAGCCTCCCTCGAAATTCCCCCCCATACCTTGCCTTTCAAGTCCGGCGCGGAACCTAACACCGAAGCGAAAACCTCACGGTGAGTCCTCCCGTGAAAAGGCACAGTACCTGAAATGTTAGTGGGATAGAAAGATGGCAAACACGTTGAGCGGTAAGATGCGGATATTGTAAGGAATGTGCAGCAGGCAGCTCCTTCACATGTCCTTCACATGTCCTTCACATGTCCTTCACATGTCCTTCTCATCAGCTTCTTAAAAAGGGTGCTCTTGTGTGATCTCACCGGCAAGAACCAGACAACCAGATTACCATACCATGTGTATAAATTGCAACGTACCCGACAGGCAGGTGTAGAGAACGCAGCCGAGGCTCCACATGTCGACCTCCCCCGCATATGGCCTCCCCCGGATGATCTCAGGCGCCATGTAGAAGGGCGAGCCCACCACCCCACACACTGCTGTCTGGCCGCGCGACAGCGTCGCTGCCAGCCCGAAATCCGCCACCCTCACTTGAATGCCCGTGCAGGGACAGGGAGGGGGGCTGGTTGCCGTGATGGTATGAGGAGGAGGAGTAGCGGTGGGAGAAGAGGGCGTTGCTGCCAGCCCGAAATCAACCACGTTGACTCTCATGCCCGTGCAGAGACACGCAGGGGGGCTGGTTGCCGTGGTGACCGGAGAGGGAGGAGGGGACGAGCAGAGAGGAGGAAAAGGAGGTGGAGGAGGTGCAAGAGGAGAAAGGGAAGCGGTGGGAGAAGAGGGTGGAAGGGAAAGACGGGGGGAGGAGGGATGGGAGGCGAGAGAGGGGGATGGTGGCTGGGAGGTTTGTGAGAGGTGGAAAGGAGATGATGGAGGGAGAGGGGGGGAGGGAGGTGATGAAAGCGGGAGGAAGGGAGAGGATGCTGGGAGAGTAGGTGAGGGCGAAGACTGGAAAGAAGTTCCCCTGCTGCTACCTGTGTCATTACTGCTGCTGCTGCTGCTATGTCTAGTAAAAGTAGAGACTGAACTTGTGGAAGCTTCAAGTGACCACAACGAGGGAGGTGTGGCCACACTGCAAGACGTATCACTGGATGTGACTGTATTGAAACCCTCCCTGCAATGGGAACATCCCTGGCTCGTGCTTCTGTTCCCCCCACTGCAGTTCCCACTGCTTCTAATGTCAACGCTGGCACTACTACCCTCAATTTCACTGCAGTTGCACTCAGCTACAGTGCAACGGCCTCTACAAGCACCGGGCCCACTACTAAGGAGTATGTTCTCTGGCTTGAGGTCGCGGTGCACTATGCCCGTGCGATGCATGGCATGAACTGCCAGCAGCAACTGCCTGAGGGGTGGAAGGGGCAACAGGAGGCAAGAAGGGCAAGGTGCGACTGAGCAGCTAGCAGTCACAGTACTTTCCACAAGGACAGTGGTGCATGGGGTTGGGGGTTGCTTGCGAGGTACTCCTGCCACAACCTCTCCCCCTCACGCCCTCTCCCCTCACGACCGCACGCTCTCACACCCTCACGTCCTCGCCTTGCCAGGGGCAGCTGTGTGCATCGCTCATCGCGCATAGATGGCAGTACATTCCAGACATGGGCGAATCATGCACTCATGAGAGGGCGGGAGGAAGGGGACGTTGGGAGCAAAGTGCGAGAGGAAGGGAGAAAGAGGAAGACAGAAACTGGGTAGGAGGTAAGGGGAGGGAAGAAGGGCGAGGGGGGACGCACGGGGCTCACAATAGGACGCCGCACGTCTCTTTTTAACCCTCTTTTCGCATGTCATTTCATGTTTTCGAGTGGCGGGAAAAGTGGGGGTCGGAAGGGGACGAGGGGGGGAGGTGGGGGTTGGCAAGGGGGGATGAATATATGTGGGTGATCGCCTACCTGAATGCAGTTTCTCCAGTGATCCGTTTCTGCCCTATAACGACGTAGAACAAATCACTGCTGGGACTACGCACCTGAATACAGCGGCAGCTTGTGCTTCGGTAAGCCGCTTCTGTCTTATAACGAGGTCAAACAGATCGCCACCCGGGCAGTACTCCAGGATGAGATGTAACGCCGCCCGCGTTTCAACCACCACCTCGTACAGCCGTACGAACGCCAGCTCCTCCCGCTCCCCATCCGCGCTGCCTGCTCCGCATTCCCCCCTTGCCCGCTCCCCCGCCCCCTGTTCTTTCCCCCCCCGTTCCCCTTCCCCCTCCTGCAGGCGCAGCAGCGACAGCACTTCCGCCCTCAGCTCCATGAGATCGCTGCGGCGCTGGGGACGAGAGAGACAAAAAAAGGGGGGGGAGGGAGGGGGGGAAGGGGAGAGAAGGGGGGGAAGAGGTTTGAGAGGCGTCTTCAAAGCAGCTTGCCCCGTCAGCTCCATAAGATCGCTGGGACGCTGCGGAAGAGGGGGTGCGCGTGCGGGCGGAAAGGTTTACGGGCGGAAAAAGGAGGAAGGGGAGGGGGGAGGGGGGGAGGGTTGGGTTCTTTGCAAGCAGCAGGGACGAAAATTCCGCCCGCGGCTTCACGAAGTCACCTAAGGATGTAGGGAGAGAGGGAAGGAGGCGAGAGAGCGGCATTCGCTGGGAGAGGGGGGTGGCGGCGCGGAGGCTTGGGGAGGCGAAATGAGGGGAACGAGGGTGGGGAGGAACGCGGAGAAAGAACAACGCGTTTGTCGCGTGTGCGGGAGGTCCGGGGATGGGGGGAGGGAAGGGGCGAGGAGGAAGCGGAGTACGATAAAGAGACATTTTGTGCGACTCACCCGCACGCCGCTCAGCAGTATCGTCTTGCACGCGAAACGCTCGCCCGTCGCACGGTCTTCGCACAGTCGCACGACCCCGAAGTGGCCGCGCCCCAACTCGCGGCCAACCTCATAAAGCTCCGACAAACGCGGGCAGCGCGACTCATCCGCCAACACGATGCGCGCTTCCGTGACGTCTGATTGCAAATGAGTGGCTGCACTCAAAGCATCGGCTGTGCGCAGTTCCGCTGGCGCTGTAGCGGGTAGAGTGCGCAGCTCCGCAAGCGGAGTTTGTTTGCACAACTCTGCTGCTGCGTGCAGTTCCGCTTCCGCCTCTACTCCTACTTTCCGCATCCTCAGGCCGTCCCCCATGGCCCTTCCACCCTCGGCCTCGCAGGCGACGCTGGCGACGCACGCGACGCCTCTGCGAAAACTACTTCTTTTGCAGGCAGTGGAAGGCGTGTCGTTTGTCGTCGGTGCAGCCTCAGCCTGCGACGTGGTTTGAGGTAGTAACGGCTGCGAGTCGCGGATCTTGGGAAGCGCTCCCCCTGTCGCGGATCCTACAGGGCACCGGACGAGAGAAGCCCCGAGATTGACGAAGAACGACTCGAGGCGCTTCGATATTTCCGCGACTGACGCTCCGTGTCGCAACGAAAGACGCACGCTACTGTCATCCATCTCGTGCTGGACTCGTGTCGTAAGAATCAGCAATATAACGATGGCCTACGGTCACGATGATGTGTACGCAAACGAAAGGATAAAGTTTCGCTCTGCTTTCTGCTTTCTCACTCGCGTCTACCAACGAGCAAGGACGTGTTGATGGACACCAAGACGTGGATTCGGCTCTCTGGCGCTGTCACTGGAGAGATGTGGATTCTTGAACAAGTGCTCGAGTTGGGAGGAGAAATTGGACTCGTGAGAGAGGGTTGGGCTTGGTGATGGGGGGGAAAAGCGAAGGTGATGGATGAAATGGGGCCGCGCGTCAGATGTTGTCGTTAGGTTGCCCTAACCTAGCTAATTTATTCTTTGACAAGTCCTGACCATAATAATCATGCGGAGCGAGAAGAAAAAACATCTGCCGAGATCTAATCGAATTGATGTCTGCAGCACGAGGCACATTAGAAAACATGTACCACAGAGTTGCAGCGTCTAAACGCCAGGATTTATCGCTGGAGCTCATTCCAACATCCCACCGCGACAGATAGACCACTGGGCTGCCTACAACAAAACTTTCGCAGCTAACCACAGAAATTAGCGTGGCGGGAATGTCAGGTACGGAACCGAACCGCTAAAAAGAACTGTTCTCTGTAGGGGCGGTGAGGTTGGACGCGGGAAACCGAACAAGCATACTTTGGGTTCCCCGGATATGGGCCAAATCAATATTGAATTGATATTTCCTATTTCTATAAAATAAGTTCCTACCACATACAAATCTGTTTTGGTAGTATCCTACCAAAAGTGCACATGACTTTGTGCTTAGCTATGGGCGCATACATGCACGGACTTACGGAATAGCACCATGAAACAATTTGAGTTCCCTATGAATCATTGGAATCTGCTCGCCACTAAACACATTTGGACACAAATCATCTGACATGCACATGAGATGCTCCATTCCACCGCACTATCACCGATGAATCAGGGCCACGCCCGCACGAAGAAAAACTCTGCTAGCCCTTTCACCAACCTTGCTTGCTTCCACCTTCAACTCATGCACCTTTGATAAGCTTCCCAGCAGCCGCCCAATGCAATCTGTAGTGATCGCATCACACTCAAGCATGGTCAAATGTGTGAGCATCTCCAATCTGCTTCTTGCAACAACCCGGTCTGAAAAGTCCTCACTGCGTTCCATGGTTAGGGCCACCAGCATGGGACAGGCACGCAGCAGCAGCACAAGCTGCTCCTCCTTCAGCCAAAAGCACGACACCAGTGTGAGACGCTTCAGCCGCCCAAAAGCAGCAGCGAGTGCAACGGATTCAAAGGACTGTAGGGTCAAGGAGTGTAAGGGAGGGCAGATGAAGTGAAAGGCATGTAGGGTCAAGGAGTGTAAGGGAGGGCAGATGAAGTGAAAGGCCTGTAGGGTCAAGGAGTATCAGGGAGGGCTGATGAAGTGAAAGGCCTGTAGGGTCAAGGAGTGTAAGGGAGGGCAGATGAAGTGAAAGGCCTGTAGGGCCAAGGAGTGTAAGGGAGGGCAGATGAAGTCAAAGGCATGTAGGGTCAAGGAGTGTAAGGGAGGGCAGATGAAGTGAAAACCCTGTAGGGTCAAGGGGTGTAAGGGAGGGCAGATGAAGTAAAAGGCCTGTAGGATCAAGGAGTGTAAGGGAGGGTAGATGAAGTGAAAGGCCTGTAGGGTTAAGGAGTGTAAGGGAGGGCAGATGAAGTGAAAGGCCTGTAGGGTCAAGGAGTGTAAGGGAGGGCACATGAAGTGAAAGGCCTGTAGGGTCAAGGAGTGTAAGGGAGGGCAGATGAAGTGAAAGGCCTGTAGGGTCAAGGAGTGTAACGGAGGGCAGATGAAGTGAAAGGCCTGTAGGGTCAAGGAGTGTAAGGGAGGGCAGATGAAATGAAAGGCTTGGAGGGTCAAAGAGTGTAAGGGAGGGCACATGAAGTGAAAGGCCTGTAGGGTCAAGGAGTGTAAGGGAGGACAGACGAAGTGAAAGGCCTGTAGGGTCAAGGAGTGTAAGGGAGGGCAGATGAAGTGAAAGGCTTGTAGGGTCAAGGAGTGTAAGGGAGGGCAGATGAAGTGAAAGGCCTGTAGGGTCAAGGAGTGTAAGGAAGGGCAGATGAAGTGAAAGGCCTGTAGGTTCAAGGAGTGTTAGGGAGGGCAGATGAAGTGAAAGGCCTGTAGGGTCAAGGAGTGTAAGCGAGGGCAGATGAAGTGAAAGGCCTGTAGGATCAAGGAGTCTAAGGGAGGGCAGATGAAGTGAAAGGCCTGTAGGGTCAAGGAGTGTAAGGGAGGGCAAATGAAGTGAAAGGCTTGGAGAGTCAAAGAGTGTAAGGGAGGGCGGATGAAGTGAAAGGCATGTAGGGTCAAGGAGTGTAAGGGAGGGCAGATGAAATGAAAGGCCTGTAGGGTCAAGGAGTGTAAGGGAGTGCAGATGAAATGAAAGGCCTGTAGGGTCAAGGAGTGTAAGGGAGGGCAGATGAAGTGAAAGGCCTGTAGGGTCAAGGAGTGTAAGGGAGGGCAAATGAAGTGAAAGGCCAGTAGGGTCAAGGAGTGTAAGGGAGGGCAGATGAAGTGAAAGGCCTGTAGGGTCAAGGAGTGTAAGGGAGGGCAGATGAAGTGAAAGGCTTGGAGGGTCAAAGAGTGTAAGGGAGGGCACATGAACTGAAAGAGGCAGATGAAGTGAAAGGCTTGGAGGGTCAAAGAGTGTAAGGGAGGGCACATGAAGTGAAAGGCCTGTAGTGTCAAGGAGTGTAAGGGAGGGCAGATGAAGTGAAAGGCCTGTAGGGTCAAGGAGTGTAAGGGAGGGCAGATGAAGTGAAAGGCCTGTAGGGTCAAGGAGTGTAAGGGAGGGAAGATGAAGTGAAAGGCCTGTAGGGTCAAAGAGTGTAAGGGAGGGCAGATGAAGTGAAAGGCTTGGAGGGTCAAAGAGTGTAAGGGAGGGCACATGAACTGAAAGGCCTGTAGGATCAAGGAGTGTAAGGGAGGGCAGAGGAAGTGAAAGGCCTGTAGGGTCAAGGAGTGTAAGGGAGGGCAGATGAAGTGAAAGGCCTGTAGGGTCAAGGAGTGTAAGGGAGGGCAGATGAAGTAAAAGGCCTGTAGGGTCAAGGAGTGTAAGGGAGGGCAGATGAAGTGAAAGGCTTGGAGGGTCAAAGAGTGTAAGGGAGGGCACATGAAGTGAAAGGCCTGTAGTGTCAAGGAGTGTAAGGGAGGGCAGATGAAGTGAAAGGCCTGTAGGGTCAAGGAGTGTAAGGGAGGGCAGATGAAGTGAAAGGCCTGTAGGGTCAAGGAGTGTAAGGGAGGGCAGATGAAGTGAAAGGCCTGTAGGGTCAAAGAGTGTAAGGGAGGGCAGATGAAGTGAAAGGCCTGTAGGGTCAAGGAGTGTAAGGGAGGGCAGATGAAGTGAAAGGCCTGTAAGGTCAAGGAGTGTAAGGAAGGGCAGATGAAGTGAAAGGCCTGTAGGTTCAAGGAGTGTAAGGGAGGGCAGATGAAGTGAAAGGCCTGTAGGGTCAAGGAGTGTAAGGGAGGGCAGATAAAGTGAAAGGCCTGTAGAGTCAAGGAGTGTAAGGGAGGGCAGATGAAGTGAAAGGCCTGTAGGGTCAAGGAGTGTAAGGGAGGGCAGATGAAGTGAAAGGCCTGTAAGGTCAAGGAGTGTAAGGAAGGGCAGATGAAGTGAAAGGCCTGTAGGTTCAAGGAGTGTAAGGGAGGGCAGATGAAGTGAAAGGCCTGTAGGGTCAAGGAGTGTAAGGGAGGGCAGATAAAGTGAAAGGCCTGTAGAGTCAAGGAGTGTAAGGGAGGGCAGATGAAGTGAAAGGCCTGTAGGGTCAAGGAGTGTAAAGGGGGACAGATGAAGTGAAAGGCCTGTAGGGTCAAGGAGTGTAAGGGAGGGCAGATGAAGAGAAAGGCCTGTTGGGTCGAGGAGTGAAAGGGAGGGCAGATGGAGTGAAAGGCCTGTAGGGTCAAGGAGTGTAAGGGAGGGCAGATGAAGTGAAAGGCCTGTAGGGTAAAGGAGTGTAAGGGAGGGCAGATGAAGTGAAAGGCCTGTAGGGTCAAGGAGTGTAAGGGAGGGCAAATGAAGTGAAAGGCCAGTAGGGTCAAGGAGTGTAAGGGAGGGCAGATGAAGTGAAAGGCCTGTAGGGTCAAGGAGTGTAAGGGAGGGCAGATGAAGTGAAAGGCTTGGAGGGTCAAAGAGTGTAAGGGAGGGCAGATGAAGTGAAAGGCCTGTAGGGTAAAGGAGTGTAAGGGAGGGCAGATGAAGTGAAAGGCTTGGAGGGTCAAAGAGTGTAAGGGAGGGCAAATGAAGTGAAAGGCCAGTAGGGTCAAGGAGTGTAAGGGAGGGCAGATGAAGTGAAAGGCCTGTAGGGTCAAGGAGTGTAAGGGAGGGCAGATGAAGTGAAAGGCTTGGAGGGTCAAAGAGTGTAAGGGAGGGCACATGAAGTGAAAGGCCTGTAGGATCGAGTGTAAGGGAGGGCAGAGGAAGTGAAAGGCCTGTAGGGTCAAGGAGTGTAAGAGAGGGCAGATGAAGTGAAAGGCCTGTAGGGTCAAGGAGTGTAAGGGAGGGCTGATGAAGTGAAAGGCCTGTAGGGTCAAGGAGTGTAAGGGAGGGCAAATGAAGTGAAAGGCCTGTAGGGTCAAGGAATGTAGGGGAGGGCAGATGAAGTGAAAGGCCTGTAGGGCCAAGGAGTGTAAGGGAGGGCAGATGAAGTGAAAGGCCTGTAGGGTCAAGGAGTGTGAGGAAGGGCAGATGAAGTGAAAGGCCTGTGAGGGCAGCTGAAGCGAAAGGCAGGTAGGGTCAAGGAGTGTAAGGGAGGGCAGATGAAGTGAAAGGCCTGTAGGGTCGAGGAGTGTAAGGGAGGGCAGATGAAGTGAAAGGCCTGTAGGGTCAAGGAGTGTAAGGGAGGGCAGATGAAGGGAAAGGCCTGTAGGGTCAAGGTGTGAGAGGGAGAGCAGATGAAGCCAAAGGCATGTAGGGTCAAGGAATGTAAGAGAGGGCAGATGAAGTGAAAGGCCTGTAGGGTCAAGGAGTGTAAGGGAGGGCAGATGAAGTGAAAGGCCAGTAGGGTCAAGGAGTGTAAGGGAGGGGAAATGAAGTGAAAGGCCTGTAGGGTCAAGGAGTGTAAGGGAGGGCAGATGAAGTGAAAGGCCTGTAGGGTCAAGGAGTGTAAGGGAGGGCAGATGACGTGAAAGGCTTGGAGGGTCAAAGAGTGTAAGGGAGGGCACATGAAGTGAAAGGCCTGTAGGATCGAGTGTAAGGGAGGGCAGAGGAAGTGAATTGCCTGTAGGGTCAAGGAGTGTAAGAGAGGGCAGATGAAGTGAAAGGCCTGTAGGGTCAAGGAGTGTAAGGGAGGGCTGATGAAGTGAAAGGCCTGTAGGGTCAAGGAGTGTAAGGGAGGGCAAATGAAGTGAAAGGCCTGTAGGGTCAAGGAATGTAGGGGAGGGCAGATGAAGTGAAAGGCCTGTAGGGCCAAGGAGTGTAAGGGAGGGCAGATGAAGTGAAAGGCCTGTAGGGTCAAGGAGTGTGAGGAAGGGCAGATGAAGTGAAAGGCCTGTGAGGGCAGCTGAAGCGAAAGGCATGTAGGGTCAAGGAGTGTAAGGGAGGGCAGATGAAGTGAAAGGCCTGTAGGGTCGAGGAGTGTAAGGGAGGGCAGATGAAGTGAAAGGCGGGGAGGGTCAAAGAGTGTAAGGGAGGGCACATGAAGTGAAAGGCCTGTAGGGTCAAGGAATGTAGGGGAGGGCAGATGAAGTGAAAGGCCTGTAGGGTCAAGGAGTGTAAGGGAGGGCAAATGAAGTGAAAGGCCAGTAGGGTCAAGGAGTGTAAGGGAGGGCAGATGAAGTGAAAGGCCTGTAGGGTCAAGGAGTGTAAGGGAGGGCAGATGAAGTGAAAGGCTTGGAGGGTCAAAGAGTGTAAGGGAGGGCACATGAAGTGAAAGGCCTGTAGGGTCAAGGAGTGTAAGGGAGGGCAAATGAAGTGAAAGGCCAGTAGGGTCAAGGAGTGTAAGGGAGGGCAGATGAAGTGAAAGGCCTGTAGGGTCAAGGAGTGTAAGGGAGGGCAGATGAAGTGAAAGGCGGGGAGGGTCAAAGAGTGTAAGGGAGGGCACATGAAGTGAAAGGCCTGTAGGGTCAAGGAATGTAGGGGAGGGCAGATGAAGTGAAAGGCCTGTAGGGTCAAGGAGTGTAAGGGAGGGCAAATGAAGTGAAAGGCCAGTAGGGTCAAGGAGTGTAAGGGAGGGCAGATGAAGTGAAAGGCCTGTAGGGTCAAGGAGTGTAAGGGAGGGCAGATGAAGTGAAAGGCTTGGAGGGTCAAAGAGTGTAAGGGAGGGCACATGAAGTGAAAGGCCTGTAGGATCGAGTGTAAGGGAGGGCAGAGGAAGTGAAAGGCCTGTAGGGTCAAGGAGTGTAAGAGAGGGCAGATGAAGTGAAAGGCCTGTAGGGTCAAGGAGTGTAAGGGAGGGCTGATGAAGTGAAAGGCCTGTAGGGTCAAGGAGTGTAAGGGAGGGCAAATGAAGTGAAAGGCCTGTAGGGTCAAGGAATGTAGGGGAGGGCAGATGAAGTGAAAGGCCTGTAGGGCCAAGGAGTGTAAGGGAGGGCAGATGAAGTGAAAGGCCTGTAGGGTCAAGGAGTGTGAGGAAGGGCAGATGAAGTGAAAGGCCTGTGAGGGCAGCTGAAGCGAAAGGCATGTAGGGTCAAGGAGTGTAAGGGAGGGCAGATGAAGTGAAAGGCCTGTAGGGTCGAGGAGTGTAAGGGAGGGCAGATGAAGTGAAAGGCCTGTAGGGTCAAGGAGTGTAAGGGAGGGCAGATGAAGGGAAAGACCTGTAGGGTCAAGGTGTGAGAGGGAGGGCAGATGAAGCCAAAGGCATGTAGGGTCAAGGAATGTAAGAGAGGGCAGATGAAGTGAAAGGCCTGTAGGGTCAAGGAGTGTAAGGGAGGGCAGATGAAGTGAAAGGCCAGTAGGGTCAAGGAGTGTAAGGGAGGGGAAATGAAGTGAAAGGCCTGTAGGGTCAAGGAGTGTAAGGGAGGGCAGATGAAGTGAAAGGCCTGTAGGGTCAAGGAGTGTTAGGGAGGGCAGATGACGTGAAAGGCTTGGAGGGTCAAAGAGTGTAAGGGAGGGCACATGAAGTGAAAGGCCTGTAGGGTCAAGGAATGTAGGGGAGGGCAGATGAAGTGAAAGGCCTGTAGGGTCAAGGAGTGTAAGGGAGGGCAGATGAATTGAAAGGCCTGTAGGGTCAAGGAGTGTGAGGAAGGGCAGATGAAGTGAAAGGCCTGTAGGGTCAAGGAGTGTGAGGGAGGGCAGCTGAAGCGAAAGGCATGTAGGGTCAAGGAGTGTAAGGGAGGGCAGATGAAGTGAAAGGCCTGTAGGGTCGAGGAGTGTAAGGGAGGGCAGATGAAGTGAAAGGCCTGTAGGGTCAAGGAGTGTAAGGGAGGGGAAATGAAGTGAAAGGCCTGTAGGGTCAAGGAGTGTAAGGGAGGGCAGATGAAGTGAAAGGCCTGTAGGGTCGAGGAGTGTAAGGGAGGGCAGATGAAGTGAAAGGCCTGTAGGGTCAAGGAGTGTAAGGGAGGGGAAATGAAGTGAAAGGCCTGTAGGGTCAAGGAGTGTAAGGGAGGGCAGATGAAGTGAAAGGCCTGTAGGGTCAAGGAGTGTAAGGGAGGGCAGATGAAGTGAAAGGCCTGTAGGGTCGAGGAGTGTAAGGGAGGGCAGATAAAGCGAAAGGCCTGTAGGGTCAAGGAGTGTAAGGGAGGGCAGATGAAGGGAAAGGCCTGTAGGGTCAAGGTGTGAGAGGGAGGGCAGATGAAGCCAAAGGCATGTAGGGTCAAGGAGTGTAAGGGAGGGCAGATGAAGTGAATGGCCTGTAGGGTCAAGGAGTGTAAGGGAGGGCAGATGAAGCCAAAGGCCTGTAGGGTCAAGCAGTGTAAGGGAGGGCAGATGAAGTGAAAGGCCTGTAGGGTCAAGGAGTGTGAGGGAGGGCAGCTGAAGCGAAAGGCATGTAGGGTCAAGGAGTGTAAGGGAGGGCAGATGAAGTGAAAGGCCTGTAGGGTCAAGGAGTGTAAGGGAGGGCAGATGAAGTGAAAGGCCTGTAGGGTCAAGGAGTGTAAGGGAGGGCAGATGAAGTGAAAGGCCTGTAGGGTCAAGGAGTGTAAGGGAGGGCAGATGAAGTGAAAGGCCTGTAAGGTCAAGGAGTGTAAGGAAGGGCAGATGAAGTGAAACGCCTGTAGGTTCAAAGAGTGTAAGGGAGGGCAGATGAAGTGAAAGGCCTGTAGGGTCAAGGAGTGTAAGGGAGGGCAGATGAAGTGAAAGGCATGTAGGGTCAAGGAGTGTAAGGGAGGGCAGATGAAGTGAAAGGCCTGTAGGGTCACGGAGTGTAAGGTAGGGCAGATGAAGTGAAAGGCCTGTAGGGTCAAGGAGTGTAAGGGAGGGCAGATGAAGTGAAAGGCCTGTAGGGTCAAGGAGTATAAGGGAGGGCAGATGAAGTGAAAGGCCTGTATGGTTAAGGAGTGTAAGGGAGGGCAGATGGAGTGAAAGGCCTGTATGGTTAAGGAGTGTAAGGGAGGGCAGATGAAGTGAAAGGCTTGGAGGGTCAAGGAGTGTAAGAGAGGGCAGATGAAGTGAAAGGCCTGTAGGGTCAAGGAGTGTAAGGGAGGGCAGATGAAGTGAAAGGCTTGTAGGGTCAAGGAGTGTAAGGGAGGGCAGATGAAGTGAAAGGCCTGTAGGGTCAAGGAGTGTAAGGAAGGGCAGATGAAGTGAAAGGCTTGGAGGGTCAAAGAGTGTAAGGGAGGGCACATGAAGTGAAAGGCCTGTAGGGTCAAGGAGTGTAAGGAAGGGCAGATGAAGTGAAAGGCCTGTAGGTTCAAGGAGTGTAAGGGAGGGCAGATGAAGTGAAAGGCCTGTAGGGTCAAGAAGTGTAAGGGAGGGCAGATGAAGTGAAAGGCCTGTAGGGTCAAGGAGTGTAAGGGAGGGCAGATGAAGTGAAAGGCCTGTAGGGTCAAGGAGTGTAAGGGAGGGCAGATGAAGTGAAAGGCCTGTAAGGTCAAGGAGTGTAAGGAAGGGCAGATGAAGTGAAAGGCCTGTAGGTTCAAGGAGTGTAAGGGAGGGCATATGAAGTGAAAGGCCTGTAGGGTCAAGGAGTGTAAGGGAGGGCAGATGAAGTGAAAGGCATGTAGGGTCAAGGAGTGTAAGGGAGGGCAGATGAAGTGAAAGGCCTGTAGGGTCAAGGAGTGTAAGGGAGGGCAGATGAAGTGAAAGGCCTGTATGGTTAAGGAGTGTAAGGGAGGGCAGATGGAGTGAAAGGCCTGTATGGTTAAGGAGTGTAAGGGAGGGCAGATGAAGTGAAAGGCTTGGAGGGTCAAGGAGTGTAAGAGAGGGCAGATGAAGTGAAAGGCCTGTAGGGTCAAGGAGTGTAAGGGAGGGCAGATGAAGTGAAAGGCTTGTAGGGTCAAGGAGTGTAAGGGAGGGCAGATGAAGTGAAAGGCCTGTAGGGTCAAGGAGTGTAAGGAAGGGCAGATGAAGTGAAAGGCTTGGAGGGTCAAAGAGTGTAAGGGAGGGCACATGAAGTGAAAGGCCTGTAGGGTCAAGGAGTGTAAGGAAGGGCAGATGAAGTGAAAGGCCTGTAGGTTCAAGGAGTGTAAGGGAGGGCAGATGAAGTGAAAGGCCTGTAGGGTCAAGAAGTGTAAGGGAGGGCAGATGAAGTGAAAGGCCTGTAGGGTCAAGGAGTGTAAGGGAGGGCAGATGAAGTGAAAGGCCTGTAGGGTCAAGGAGTATAAGGGAGGGCAGATGAAGTGAAAGGCCTGTAAGGTCAAGGAGTGTAAGGAAGGGCAGATGAAGTGAAACGCCTGTAGGTTCAAGGAGTGTAAGGGAGGGCATATGAAGTGAAAGGCCTATAGGGTCAAGGAGTGTAAGGGAGGGAAGATGAAGTGAAAGGCATGTAGGGTCAAGGAGTGTAAGGGAGGGCAGATGAAGTGAAAGGCCTGTAGGGTCACGGAGTGTAAGGGAGGGCAGATGAAGTGAAAGGCATGTAGGGTCAAGGAGTGTAAGGGAGGGCAGATGAAGTGAAAGGCCTGTAGGGTCACGGAGTGTAAGGGAGGGCAGATGAAGTGAAAGGCCTGTAGGGTCAAGGAGTGTCAGGGAGGGCAGATGAAGTGAAAGGCCTGTAGGGTCAAGGAGTATAAGGGAGGGCAGATGAAGTGAAAGGCCTGTATGGTTAAGGAGTGTAAGTGAGGGCAGAGGAAGTGAAAGGCCTGTAGGGTCAAGGAGTGTAAGAGAGGGCAGATGAAGTGAAAGGCCTGTAGGGTCAAGCAGTGTAAGGGAGGGCTGATGAAGTGAAAGGCCTGTAGGGTCAAGGAGTGTAAGGGAGGGCAGATGAAGTGAAAGGCTTGGAGGGTCAAGGAGTGTAAGGGAGGGCAGATGAAGTGAAAGGCCTGTAGGGTAAAGGAGTGTAAGGGAGGGCAGATGAAGTGAAAGGCCTGTAGGGTCAAGGAGTGTAAGGGAGGGCAAATGAAGTGAAAGGCCAGTAGGGTCAAGGAGTGTAAGGGAGGGCAGATGAAGTGAAAGGCCTGTAGGGTCAAGGAGTGTAAGGGAGGGCAGATGAAGTGAAAGGCTTGGAGGGTCAAAGAGTGTAAGGGAGGGCAAATGAAGTGAAAGGCCTGTAGGATCGAGTGTAAGGGAGGGCAGAGGAAGTGAAAGGCCTGTAGGGTCAAGGAGTGTAAGAGAGGGCAGATGAAGTGAAAGGCCTGTAGGGTCAAGGAGTGTAAGGGAGGGCTGATGAAGTGAAAGGCCTGTAGGGTCAAGGAGTGTAAGGGAGGGCAAATGAAGTGAAAGGCCTGTAGGGTCAAGGAATGTAGGGGAGGGCAGATGAAGTGAAAGGCCTGTAGGGCCAAGGAGTGTAAGGGAGGGCAGATGAAGTGAAAGGCCTGTAGGGTCAAGGAGTGTGAGGAAGGGCAGATGAAGTGAAAGGCCTGTGAGGGCAGCTGAAGCGAAAGGCATGTAGGGTCAAGGAGTGTAAGGGAGGGCAGATGAAGTGAAATGCCTGTAGGGTCGAGGAGTGTAAGGGAGGGCAGATGAAGTGAAAGGCCTGTAGAGTCAAGGAGTGTAAGGGAGGGCAGATGAAGTGAAAGGCCTGTAGGGTCAAGGAGTGTAAGGGAGGGCAGATGAAGTGAAAGGCATGTAGGGTCAAGGAGTGTAAGGGAGGGCAGATGAAGTGAAAGGCCTGTAGGGTCATGGAGTGTAAGGGAGGGCAGATGAAGTGAAAGGCCTGTAGGGTCAAGGAGTGTAAGGGAGGGCAGATGAAGTGAAAGGCCTGTAGGGTCACGGAGTGTAAGGGAGGGCAGATGAAGTGAAAGGCATGTAGGGTCAAGGAGTGTAAGGGAGGGCAGATGAAGTGAAAGGCCTGTAGGGTCACGGAGTGTAAGGGAGGGCAGATGAAGCGAAAGGCCAGTAGGGTCAAGGAGTATAAGGGAGGGCAGATGAAGTGAAAGGCCTGTAGGGTCAAGGAGTGTAAGGGAGGGCAGATGAAGGGAAAGGCCTGTAGGGTCAAGGTCTGTAAGGGAGGGCAGATGAAGGGAAAGGCCTGTAGGGTCAAGGAGTGCAAGGGAGGGCAGATGAAGGGAAAGGCCTGTAGGGTCAAGGAGTGTAAGGGAGGGCAGATGAAGTGAAAGGCATGTAGGGTCAGAGAGTGTAAGGGAGGGCAGATGAAGTGAAAGGCCTGCAGGGTCAAGGAGTGTAAGGGAGGGCAGATGAAGTGAAAGGCCTGTAGGGTCTGGGAGTGTAAGGGAGGGCAGATGAAGTGAAAGGACTGTAGGGTCAAGGAGTGTAAGGGAGGGCAGATGAAGTTTAAACCCCGTAGGGTCAAGGGGTGTAAGGGAGGGCAAATGAAGTGAAAGGCCTGTAGGGTCAAGGAGTGTAAGGGAGGGCAGATGAAGTGAAAGGCCTGTAGGGTCAAGGAGTGTAAGGGAGGGCAGATGATGTGAAAGGCTTGGAGGGTCAAAGAGTGTAAGGGAGGGCACATGAAGTGAAAGGCCTGTAGGATCAAGGAGTGTAAGGGAGGGCAGATGAAGTGCAAGGCCTGTAGGGTCAAGGAGTGTAAGGGAGGGCAGATGAAGTGAAAGGCTTGGAGGGTCATAGAGTGTAAGGGAGGGCACATGAAGTGAAAGGCCTCTATGGTCGAGGAGTGTAAGGGAGGGCTGATGGAGTGAAAGGCCTGTAGGGTTAATGAGTGTAAGGGAGGGCAGATGAAGTGAAAGGCCTGTAGGGTCAAGGAGTGTAAGGGAGGGCAGATGAAGGGAAAGGCCTGTAGGGTCAAGGAGTGTAAGGGAGGGCAGATGAAGTGAAAGGCCTGTAGGGTCAAGGAGTGTTAGGCAGGGCAGATGAAGTGAAAGGCCCGTAGGGTCAAGGAGTGTAAGGGAGGGCAGATGAAGTGAAAGGCCTGTAGGGTCAAGGAGTGTAAGGGAGGGCAGATGAAGTGAAAGGCCTGTAGGGTCAAGGAGTGTTAGGCAGGGCAGATGAAGTGAAAGGCCTATAGGGTCAAGGAGTGTAAGGGAGGGCAGATGAAGGGAAAGGCCTGTAGGGTCAAGGAGTGTTAGGCAGGGCAGATGAAGTGAAAGGCCTGTAGGGTCAAGGAGTGTAAGAGAGGGCAGATGAAGTGAAAGGCCTGTAGGGTCAAGCAGTGTAAGGGAGGGCTGATGAAGTGAAAGGCCTGTAGGGTCAAGGAGTGTAAGGGAGGGCAGATGAAGTGAAAGGCTTGGAGGGTCAAGGAGTGTAAGGGAGGGCAGATGAAGTGAAAGGCCTGTAGGGTAAAGGAGTGTAAGGGAGGGCAGATGAAGTGAAAGGCCTGTAGGGTCAAGGAGTGTAAGGGAGGGCAAATGAAGTGAAAGGCCAGTAGGGTCAAGGAGTGTAAGGGAGGGCAGATGAAGTGAAAGGCCTGTAGGGTCAAGGAGTGTAAGGGAGGGCAGATGAAGTGAAAGGCTTGGAGGGTCAAAGAGTGTAAGGGAGGGCAAATGAAGTGAAAGGCCTGTAGGATCGAGTGTAAGGGAGGGCAGAGGAAGTGAAAGGCCTGTAGGGTCAAGGAGTGTAAGAGAGGGCAGATGAAGTGAAAGGCCTGTAGGGTCAAGGAGTGTAAGGGAGGGCTGATGAAGTGAAAGGCCTGTAGGGTCAAGGAGTGTAAGGGAGGGCAAATGAAGTGAAAGGCCTGTAGGGTCAAGGAATGTAGGGGAGGGCAGATGAAGTGAAAGGCCTGTAGGGCCAAGGAGTGTAAGGGAGGGCAGATGAAGTGAAAGGCCTGTAGGGTCAAGGAGTGTGAGGAAGGGCAGATGAAGTGAAAGGCCTGTGAGGGCAGCTGAAGCGAAAGGCATGTAGGGTCAAGGAGTGTAAGGGAGGGCAGATGAAGTGAAATGCCTGTAGGGTCGAGGAGTGTAAGGGAGGGCAGATGAAGTGAAAGGCCTGTAGAGTCAAGGAGTGTAAGGGAGGGCAGATGAAGTGAAAGGCCTGTAGGGTCAAGGAGTGTAAGGGAGGGCAGATGAAGTGAAAGGCATGTAGGGTCAAGGAGTGTAAGGGAGGGCAGATGAAGTGAAAGGCCTGTAGGGTCATGGAGTGTAAGGGAGGGCAGATGAAGTGAAAGGCCTGTAGGGTCAAGGAGTGTAAGGGAGGGCAGATGAAGTGAAAGGCCTGTAGGGTCACGGAGTGTAAGGGAGGGCAGATGAAGTGAAAGGCATGTAGGGTCAAGGAGTGTAAGGGAGGGCAGATGAAGTGAAAGGCCTGTAGGGTCACGGAGTGTAAGGGAGGGCAGATGAAGCGAAAGGCCAGTAGGGTCAAGGAGTATAAGGGAGGGCAGATGAAGTGAAAGGCCTGTAGGGTCAAGGAGTGTAAGGGAGGGCAGATGAAGGGAAAGGCCTGTAGGGTCAAGGTCTGTAAGGGAGGGCAGATGAAGGGAAAGGCCTGTAGGGTCAAGGAGTGCAAGGGAGGGCAGATGAAGGGAAAGGCCTGTAGGGTCAAGGAGTGTAAGGGAGGGCAGATGAAGTGAAAGGCATGTAGGGTCAGAGAGTGTAAGGGAGGGCAGATGAAGTGAAAGGCCTGCAGGGTCAAGGAGTGTAAGGGAGGGCAGATGAAGTGAAAGGCCTGTAGGGTCTGGGAGTGTAAGGGAGGGCAGATGAAGTGAAAGGACTGTAGGGTCAAGGAGTGTAAGGGAGGGCAGATGAAGTTTAAACCCCGTAGGGTCAAGGGGTGTAAGGGAGGGCAAATGAAGTGAAAGGCCTGTAGGGTCAAGGAGTGTAAGGGAGGGCAGATGAAGTGAAAGGCCTGTAGGGTCAAGGAGTGTAAGGGAGGGCAGATGATGTGAAAGGCTTGGAGGGTCAAAGAGTGTAAGGGAGGGCACATGAAGTGAAAGGCCTGTAGGATCAAGGAGTGTAAGGGAGGGCAGATGAAGTGCAAGGCCTGTAGGGTCAAGGAGTGTAAGGGAGGGCAGATGAAGTGAAAGGCTTGGAGGGTCATAGAGTGTAAGGGAGGGCACATGAAGTGAAAGGCCTCTATGGTCGAGGAGTGTAAGGGAGGGCTGATGGAGTGAAAGGCCTGTAGGGTTAATGAGTGTAAGGGAGGGCAGATGAATTGAAAGGCCTGTAGGGTCAAGGAGTGTAAGGGAGGGCAGATGAAGGGAAAGGCCTGTAGGGTCAAGGAGTGTAAGGGAGGGCAGATGAAGTGAAAGGCCTGTAGGGTCAAGGAGTGTTAGGCAGGGCAGATGAAGTGAAAGGCCCGTAGGGTCAAGGAGTGTAAGGGAGGGCAGATGAAGTGAAAGGCCTGTAGGGTCAAGGAGTGTAAGGGAGGGCAGATGAAGTGAAAGGCCTGTAGGGTCAAGGAGTGTTAGGCAGGGCAGATGAAGTGAAAGGCCTATAGGGTCAAGGAGTGTAAGGGAGGGCAGATGAAGGGAAAGGCCTGTAGGGTCAAGGAGTGTTAGGCAGGGCAGATGAAGTGAAAGGCCTGTAGGGTCAAGGAGTGTAAGGGAGGGCAGATGAAGTGAAAGGCCTGCAGGGTCAAGGAGTGTAAGGGAGGGCAGATGAATTGAAAGGCCTGTAGGGTCAAGGAGTGTTAGGCAGGGCAGATGAAGTGAAAGGCCTATAGGGTCAAGGAGTGTAAGGGAGGGCAGATGAAGGGAAAGGCCTGTAGGGTCAAGGAGTGTTAGGCAGGGCAGATGAAGTGAAAGGCCTGTAGGGTCAAGGAGTGTAAGGGAGGGCAGATGAAGTGAAAGGCATGTAGGGTCAAGGAGTGTAAGGGAGGGCAGATGAAATGAAAGGCCTGCAAGGTCAAGGAGTGTAAGGGAGAGCAGATGAAGTGAACGGCCTGTAGGGTCAAGGAGTGTAAGGGAGGGCAGATGAAGTGAAAGTCCTGTAGGGTCAAGAAGTGTAAGGGAGGGCAGATGAAGTGAAAGGCATGTAGGGTCAAGGAGTGTTAGGCAGGGCAGATGAAGTGAAAGGCCTGTAGGGTCAAGGAGTGTAAGGGAGGGCAGATGAAGTGAAAGGCCTGCAGGGTCAAGGAGTGTAAGGGAGGGCAGATGAAGTGAAAGGCCTGCAGGGTCAAGGAGTGTAAGGGAGGGCAGATGAAGTGAAAGGCCTGTAGGGTCAAGGAGTGTAAGGGAGGGCAGATGAAGTGAAAGGCCTGTAGGGTCAAGGAGTGTAAGGGAGTGCAGATGAAGGGAAAGGCCTGTAGGGTCAAGGAGTGTGCGGAAGGGCAGCTGATGAGAAAGGCATGTAGGGTCAAGGAGTGTAAGGGAGGGCAGATGAAGCGAAAGACCTGTAGGGTCTGTTGAGTGATGCTACCATTCGCATTCACGTCTGTCTGCCTCCCATCATATGTTCGTGCGTTGCATGCGTGTTGTGAGTGTGTGCAAGAATTTGTGTTTTGTGCGGTTTGGTTTTTCTGAGTGTGTGTGTGAATGTTATTTGGCTTGAGCAGATATCTGAAGTGACTCCTCTGCTCAAGAGCTTTCCGAGGAACCAAGTATCGCTTCAATCGGAGCACGAACAAGAAAGTTACGAACGTTGGAGTTCGTATGCTTTTGATATTTGGTTGTGGTGACTATGGGAAGTTGTGGGGTTGACTCAATATGGGGTACAGACTTTTGGGGGTTGGGAAATTCGTCTTTTCTACTGTAGTTGCTGCCAAATGGTTGGGAGAAACCAAACCAGGTTGGCAAGTGTGGCCAAGTTGGGTTGAGGTGGATTGTGGAGGTTGGGATAGTGACAAAGGTCAAAGTTGGGTTGCCTATGGGGAAGGGAATTGTATGGCATGGGGTTTCCTTGGTTGGGGACTCTCTTGGGACCTTCCCTCTCGTCCTCCTTATCCCTTCCACCTGGTTTAGTGCTACTCTAATTCTCTTGTGTGAACTTGTGTGAACATTGTGATTGAGTTACGTTTTCTATGGCAGCATACCCCCTAGTGCGCCGAAGTTCATAACTCGAGTTATACTCCATATTCTGATACTATTCAAATTGGGAAAGATAGCCACGGTCAAGGGCTACAACATATTCGAGTTTGAAAGAATTCTAACAGTGGACCTTTTGTCGACGACGTTTCTTGTGACGACGACTTTTCTGTCCAGAATTGTAGTTGACGATTTTGAGATATTTCAGCCCCTAATCTTCATAGACTCCGTCCTTAATCTCTAACAAGTGGTATCAGAGCGATTAAGGACCTTGTGGGGAGTCTACTGAAGTGTGAAGACCCTCCTAGACCCACCATGGCCTGTGGGCGTGCCTAAGTGGAGTTCTGGAGGTTGGATGTGACTTCCGCTAAGGGGAAACTCTGCCGAAATTTCGTTGGCGCTGACACTTGTGAAGATTGTGTGGATCTACATTGTGACCAGCAAAAGGGGGAGCTGAAACCTCTGATTGGGAGCAGAGGAGATGAATCAAGGGAGTGGAGATGCAGCTGAGAAGAGGAGTGAGCCGCCACCATCCAAGATTGAAGCTTTGGATGGCTCCAACTATGAGGAATGGAGCGGGCGGATGCGGAGCGCCTTCAAGCGCTACAAGCTGCTGAAAATTGCAATGGGAGAGGAGAAGATGCCGGGGGAAGGAGATGCCCGCGATCGGTGGATTGAGAAGAGCGCGGTGCTGTACGACCTCATCCTCCAATCGGTCAACAACGACATGTTCCAGCACATCAAGGATTTGGTGGAGTTGGATGATTCCGGACCGAAGGCATGGAAGCTGCTACGCGACGTGATTCAGCCCAACACGCTGCCGATGGTGATTGTGTTGGAGAAGGAGTTGGCTGCCCTCTCCATGAAACCGGGAGATGATGTGAAACCGGTCCTTGACAAGATCAAGGACACCTATGCGAGGATGGCAGCGGCGGGCAGCGAAGTGTCGCAGATGCAACAGTGCACCAAGATCATCTCGGTGCTCGACAACTCGTGGGACAACCTCATCCCCACCCTCAACGTTCAGCAGGACAAATGGATGCCTGAGTGGCTACGGCAGCAGATTCTGCAGGAGGACTTCCGCAGACGCCACACGGGAGGTGGTGCTGCCAACAAAACTGCTGAGGGGTATGGAGCTGCAGGAGGCAGCAGAGGAAGAGGGGGAGGGAGAGGCCGAGGCCGTGGGAGAGGCTTTGGCAGAGGGAGAGGCCGAGGTGACTACAATGAGGGGCATGGGAGCTCTGGTGGCAGGGGGAGCACCCGAATGGAGGGTGCGTGCTGGTACTGCAAGAAGGATGGACACCCGTGGTTCAAGTGTTTCAGCCGGCCTGAGGGATGGGCCCCTCCAGGCATGAAGCCGCCAAGTGGTGAACGTGCACGCGGTGGCGCTGTGCAAGGTTCAGGTGCACAAGGTGATGGTGCACAAGGTAAAGCCCACCCTGGGATGTTCCTCATGGTTGAGGATGTGCAAGGGAGTGGGGGTGATGTGGGTTCAGTTGGGAAGGTTGTGATGCACCCCCTCACTCACTGGGTGATCGATTCAGGTTGCACGAGTCATATGACCCCACGGGCAGATTTGCTTGATGAGGTAAAACCTCCTGGGAAGATCAAGTTTGTGGCTGCCGCTTCAGGTGCTTTGCTCCCTGTGATTGGTGTTGGGAATGCCAAGGTGATGGGAGCCAATGGAGAGCTTGTGGGGCTTGGGAATGTGCTGTTGGTTGAAGGTTTGTCCGCTAACCTTCTTTCTGTGCGCCGGCTGCAGAAGAGCAAGGCTGAAGTTACCTTCGGCCCAACCAGCTGCCGTGCAAAGCTTGGGAAGTTGCTGCTATGGAACTTGGAGGAGAAGAGCAGCTGCATCAAGGACTTGTGGCAGCTGCCCATCATCCCTTGGAAGGGGAAACCACCAGCAACGGCAAAGGCAGCGGCAGCGGCTAAAGCAACTGCGGGAGGAGAGGAGACTGCACCAACTGCTGGGGCCCTGGATGCAGTCAAGAAGGTGCAGCAGCCACAACAGCCACATGGTGAGGTGCTTGCTGGTGTGGATGCGACAGCTGCATGGGCAAAGGCTTCATCTGGGAGTGGTGAGGCTGATTGGGAGACGTGGCATGAGAGGCTGTGCCATGTGAACATTCCTATGCTGCAGAAGTTGGTAAAGGATGGGTGCTTGAAGGGGCTGGAGGTGAAGGGGGGAGCAAAGGAGATTGGGAGCTGCCCTACCTGCCTTGAGACCAAATTCACGAAGTTTCCCTTCAGCAGCAGCACAGGACCAGCCAAGGCACCACTTGAACTAGTGCACATGGATGTGGTGGGCCCCACGAGGGCCCTTTCTCTCTCGGGCAGCCGCTACTTCTTGACGATTGTGGACGACCACACGCGTGCGGTGTGGGTGTACCCTCTCAAGACTAAGGGGGAGGTGGCAGCGGCTGTTCTTAAGGAGTGGATGCCGAGAGCACAAAGGGAAAGCGGACACAAGGTGAAGGTGATCCGCACTGACAACGGAGGAGAGTTCATCGGCGCTGATTTTGAGAAGGAGCTGAAGCGGAAGGGGATCCAGCATCAGCTCACAGTGCCTTACAACCCTCAGCAGAATGGCGTGGCTGAGCGGTTCAACCGGACCCTGCAGGAAGGTGCTCGCACTCTCCTTGGGCGTGCAGGGCTGCCGGATCCGTTTTGGGTGACAGCACTGCGGCAGGTCGTTGTTGTGAAGAACAGGGTGCTGGCGACTGTGGGGGACAAGCAGTGGGTCCCCTACACCAAGTGGTATGGGATTGCACCAGCTGTGAACATGCTGAGAGCCTTTGGGTGCATGGTGGTGTTTCATGTGCCTAAGGAGAAGAGGGGAAAACTGGAAGCTTCTGGGAGATGGGGTGTGCACTTGGGGCTTGCTAAGGATCACAAGGGCTGGCTGATTTGGGACTTGACCAGCCAGCAGCTGACTGTGTCAAGGGATGTGAAGTTCCTTGAGTCCTTGTACTACAAGGAGTGGAAGCAGCAGCAGCAGCAGAAGCTTCCAACGACACCGCTAATTGTCGAGGCCGATGAGGTGCAGCGGCCTTCAAGGCAAGTGGAGGTTTCTGTCTCTGAGAATGAGATCTCTGGGGTGACAGAGGATGGGGGAGAACCTGAGGTGGAGGAGCAGCAGCAGCAGCAACAGCAGCAGCAGCCGCAGCAGCAGGAGGAGCAAGGTGCTCCACAAGGTGCCGGACGTACGGCTGACCGTCCTAGGAGGGATGTGCGCCCTCCTAACAGGCTGACCTATGCAAGCCGTGGCAAGCCAAAGGTGGTAAGGGCTGGGAGTGTGGCTGAGCAGTGTGATGAGGATGAGATAGCACACTGCTACTGGGCAGCCGTCCCTGAGCCCAAGACGCTAGCTGAGGCATTGAGCGGGCCCGATGCTGAAAAGTGGAAGCAGAGTGTGAAGGAGGAGTATGATTCTCTGCTAGAGAATGAGACGTGGGAGCTGTGTGAGCTGCCACCTGGGAAGAAGGCCATTTCTTCCAAGCTGATTTTCAGGCACAAGTACGGACCTGATGGGGCGCTGACCCGCTACAAGTCAAGGCTTGTGGCTAAGGGGTTTCAGCAGACAAAGGGAAAGGACTTCAACGAGCTCTATGCTCCTGTGGGGAAAGGCACAACACTTCGGGTGTCATTGGCAATGGCAGCAAACCGTGGATGGCGGGTGAAGCAGATGGACATCACCACCGCCTTCCTCAATGGGATCATTCTGGAGGAGCTGTACATGTTACAGCCTGAGGGTTTGGATGATGGGAGCGGCAGGGTGTGCAGGCTGAAGAAGGCCATCTATGGCCTGAAGCAGGCTCCTCGTGCATGGTACCACAAGTTAGAGGAGACTCTGCTGGCTGGGGGTTTCAAGAAGAGTGAGTGTGATCACAGCTTGTTCCTGCTGCAGGAGAAGGAGCAGTTTCTCATGCTCCTGGTGTATGTGGATGACATCCTGCTCTTCTCTGAGTCATCTGCAATGATTGAGCATGTGGAGGAGGTGCTGGAGATGCAGTTTAAGTGCTCCAAGATGGGAGATGTGAAGTACTATTTAGGGATGCATGTGGAGAGGGACCTTGACAAGGGAGTGTTGAGGTTGCACCAGAGAAAGTATTGTGAGGGGCTGGCTGAGAAGTATGGGCTGCAAGATGGAGGAAAGCCAGCCACCCCACTGCCTTCGGGGTTCACTGTGGAGCCCTGTGCTGATGAGGAGGTGGTGGGTGAGAGTGACAGGAAACTTTTTCATTCCATGGTTGGGGCACTCAACTATGCGGCTAACCACACACGGCCTGACATTGCCTTTGCAACATCCAGGCTTGCCAGTGTGGTTTCACGCCCCAGTCATGAGCAGCTGGAAGCGGCCAAGAGGTTGGTCCGCTATGTGAGTGCAACGGCATCAGTGGGTTTGGAGTACAGTGCTGTGAGGCAGAGGCTGCAGAGGAGTGCAGCTGATTTGAGCAAGGGGGAGATGCTCCTGACCTGCTACACTGACGCTAGCTTCAACTCGGTGAAAGCGGATGGCACCAGCATTGGAGGCTATGTGTGCCTGTTCGGAGGTGGTGCAGTGAGCTGGCGCAGTAAGAAGCAGAATGAGGTGGGGCAGTCCTCGTGTGAGACAGAGTACATGGCCCTGCATCATGGGGCAAAGGAGGTGGTGTGGCTGGAGGAGATTGGAGTTGGTCAGAGGGAGCCGACTGTGATTTTCTGTGATAATGAGTCGGCGGTGAAGCTAGCGAAGAATGCTTGTCTTCATGGGCTGACCAAACACATCAGGCCTAAGTGGCACTGGGTGAGAAGGCTCCTGGACAAGGAGGTGCGGCTGGAGATTGTGAAGACCCATCAGCAGGCGGCTGACATTCTCACCAAGCGCCTGGCTGAATCTGAGCATTGGAAGGGCATGAAGCTTGCTGGGATGAGTGTGCATTGAGGATGCATGCTTGAGCTATGGCATGTGGGATGATGGTTGGCAGCCAGAGGGGGAGTTTGTTGAGTGATGCTACCATTCGCATTCACGTCTGTCTGCCTCCCATCATATGTTCGTGCGTTGCATGCGTGTTGTGAGTGTGTGCAAGAATTTGTGTTTTGTGCGGTTTGGTTTTTCTGAGTGTGTGTGTGAATGTTATTTGGCTTGAGCAGATATCTGAAGTGACTCCTCTGCTCAAGAGCTTTCCGAGGAACCAAGTATCGCTTCAATCGGAGCACGAACAAGAAAGTTACGAACGTTGGAGTTCGTATGCTTTTGATATTTGGTTGTGGTGACTATGGGAAGTTGTGGGGTTGACTCAATATGGGGTACAGACTTTTGGGGGTTGGGAAATTCGTCTTTTCTACTGTAGTTGCTGCCAAATGGTTGGGAGAAACCAAACCAGGTTGGCAAGTGTGGCCAAGTTGGGTTGAGGTGGATTGTGGAGGTTGGGATAGTGACAAAGGTCAAAGTTGGGTTGCCTATGGGGAAGGGAATTGTATGGCATGGGGTTTCCTTGGTTGGGGACTCTCTTGGGACCTTCCCTCTCGTCCTCCTTATCCCTTCCACCTGGTTTAGTGCTACTCTAATTCTCTTGTGTGAACTTGTGTGAACATTGTGATTGAGTTACGTTTTCTATGGCAGCATACCCCCTAGTGCGCCGAAGTTCATAACTCGAGTTATACTCCATATTCTGATACTATTCAAATTGGGAAAGATAGCCACGGTCAAGGGCTACAACATATTCGAGTTTGAAAGAATTCTAACAGTGGACCTTTTGTCGACGACGTTTCTTGTGACGACGACTTTTCTGTCCAGAATTGTAGTTGACGATTTTGAGATATTTCAGCCCCTAATCTTCATAGACTCCGTCCTTAATCTCTAACAGGGTCAAGGAGTGTAAGGGAGGGCAGATGAAGTGAAAGGCCTGTGGGGTCAAGGAGTGTAAGGGAGGGCAGATGAAGGGAATGGCCTGTAGGGTCAAGGACTGTAAGGGAGGGCAGATGAAGGGAAAGGCCTGTAGGGTCAAGGAGTGCAAGGGAGGGCAGATGAAGTGAAAGGCCTGTAGGGTCAAGGAGTTTAAGGGAGGGCAGATGAAGGGAAAGGCCTGTAGGGTCAAGGAGTGTAAGGGAGGGCAGATGAAGTGAAAGGCCTGTAGGGTCAAGGAGTGTTAGGCAGGGCAGATGAAGTGAAAGGCCTGTAGGGTCAACGAGTGTAAGGGAGGGCAGATGAAGTGAAAGGCCTGTAGGGTCAAGGAGTGTTAGGCAGGGCAGATGAAGTGAAAGGCCTGTAGGGTCAAGGAGTGAAAGGGAGGGCAGATGAAGTGAAAGGCCTGCAGGGTCAAGGAGTGTAAGGGAGGGCAGATGAAGTGAAAGGCCTGTAGGGTCAAGGAGTGTTAGGCAGGGCAGATGAAGTGAAAGGCCTGTAGGATCAAGGAGTGTAAGGAAGGGCAGATGAAGTGAAAGGCATGTAGGGTCAAGGAGTGTAAGGGAGGGCAGATGAAGTGAAAGGCCTGCAGGGTCAAGGAGTGTAAGGGAGGGCAGATGAAGTGAAAGGCCTGCAGGGTCAAGGAGTGTAAGGGAGGGCAGATGAAGTGAAAGGCCTGTAGGGTCAAGGAGTGTAAGGGAGGGCAGATGAAGTGAAAGGCCTGTAGGGTCAAGGAGTGTAAGGGAGGGCAGATGAAGGGAAAGGCCTGTAGGGTCAAGGAGTGTGCGGAAGGGCAGCTGATGAGAAAGGCATGTAGGGTCAAGGAGTGTAAGGGAGGGCAGATGAAGCGAAAGACCTGTAGGGTCAAGGAGTGTAAGGGAGGGCAGATGAAGTGAAATGCCTGTGGGGTCAAGGAGTGTAAGGGAGGGCAGATGAAGGGAAAGGCCTGTAGGGTCAAGGACTGTAAGGGAGGGCAGATCAAGGGAAAGGCCTGTAGGGTCAAGGAGTGCAAGGGAGGGCAGATGAAGTGAAAGGCCTGTAGGGTCAAGGAGTTTAAGGGAGGGCAGATGAAGGGAAAGGCCTGTAGGGTCAAGGAGTGTAAGGGAGGGCAGATGAAGTGAAAGGCCTGTAGGGTCAAGGAGTGTTAGGCAGGGCAGATGAAGTGAAAGGCCTGTAGGGTCAAGGAGTGTAAGGGAGGGCAGATGAAGTGAAAGGCCTGTAGGGTCAAGGAGTGTTAGGCAGGGCAGATGAAGTGAAAGGCCTGTAGGGTCAAGGAGTGAAAGGGAGGGCAGATGAAGTGAAAGGCCTGCAGGGTCAAGGAGTGTAAGGGAGGGCAGATGAAGTGAAAGGCCTGCAGGGTCAAGGAGTGTAAGGGAGAGCAGTTGAAGTGAAAGGCCTGTAGGGTCAAGGAGTGTAAGGGAGGGCAGATGAAGTGAAAGGCCTGTAGGGTCAAGGAGTGATAGGCAGGGCAGATGAAGTGAAAGGCCTGTAGGATCAAGGAGTGTAAGGAAGGGCAGATGAAGTGAAAGGCATGTAGGGTCAAGGAGTGTAAGGGAGGGCAGATGAAGTGAAAGGCCTGCAGGGTCAAGGAGTGTAAGGGAGGGCAGATGAAGTGAAATGCTTGTAGGGTCAAGGAGTGTAAGGGAGGGCAGATGAAGTGAAAGGCCTGTAGGGTCAAGGAGTGTTAGGGAGGGCAGATGAACGGAAAGGCCTGTAGGGTCAAGGAGTGTTAGACAGGGCAGATGAAGTGAAAGGCCTGTAGTGTCAAGGAGTGTAAGGGAGGGCAGATCAAGTGAAAGGCCTGCAGAGTCAAGGAGTGTAAGGGAGAGCAGATGAAGTGAAAGGCCTGTAGGGTCAAGGAGTGTAAGGGAGGGCAGATGAAGTGAAAGGCCTATAGGGTCAAGAAGTGTAAGGGAGGGCAGATGAAGTGAAAGGCATGTAGGGTCAAGGAGTGTTAGGGAGGGCAGATGAAGTGAAAGGCATGTAGGATCAAGGAGTGTAAGGGAGGGGAGATAAAGTGAAAATCCTGTAGGGTCAAGGGGTGTAAGGGAGGACAGATGAAGTGAAAGGCCTGTAGGGTCAAGGAGTGTAAGGGAGGGCAGATGAAGTGAAAGGCCTGTAGGGTCAAGGAGTGTTAGGCAGGGCAGATGAAGTGAAAGGCCTATAGGGTCAAGGAGTGTAAGGGAGGGCAGATGAAGGGAAAGGCCTGTAGGGTCAAGGAGTGTTACGCAGGGCAGATGAAGTGAAAGGACTGTAGGGTCGAGGAGTGTAAGGGAGGGCAGATGAAGTGAAAGGCCTGTAGGTGTAAAGAGTGTAAGGGAGGGCAGATGAAGTGAAAGGCCTGTAGGGTCAAGGAGTGTGAGGGAGGGCAGCTGGTGCAAAAGGCATGTAGGGTCAAGGAGTGTGAGGGAGGGCAGATGAAGCGAAAGGCATGTAGGGTCAAGGAGTGTAAGGGAGTGCAGATGAAGCGAAAGGCCTGTAGGGTCAAGGAGTGTAAGGGAGGGCAGATGAAGTGAAAGGCCTGTAGGGTCAAGGAGTGTAATGGAGGGCAGATGAAGGGAAAGGCCTGTAGGGTCAAGGACTGTAAGGGAGTGCAGATGATGGGAAAGGCCTGTAGGGTCAAGGAGTGCAAGGGAGGGCAGATGAAGTGAAAGGCCTGTAGGGTCAAGGAGTGTAAGGGAGGGCACATGAAGTGAAAGGCCTGTAGGGTCAAGGAGTGTTAGGCAGGGCAGATGAAGTGAAAGGCCCGTAGGGTCAAGGAGTGTAAGGGAGGGCAGATGAAGTGAAAGGCCTGTAGGGTCAAGGAGTGTAAGGGAGGGCAGATGAAGGGAAAGGCCTGTAGGGTCAAGGAGTGTAAGGGAGGGCAGATAAAGGGAATGGCCTGTAGGGTCAAGGAGTGTAAGGGAGGGCAGATGAAGCGAAAGGCATGTAGGGTCAAGGAGTGTAAGGGAGGGCAGATGAAGTGAAAGGCCTGTAGGGTCAAGGAGTGTAAGGGAGGGCAGATGAAGGGAAAGGCCTGTAGGGTCAAGGAGTGTGAGGAAGGGCAGCTGATGCGAAAGGCATGTAGGGTCAAGGAGTGTAAGGGAGGGCAGATGAAGCGAAAGGCCTGTAGGGTCAAGGAGTGTAAGGGAGGGCAGATGAAGTGAAAGGCCTGTAGGGTCAAGGAGTGTAAGGGAGGGCAGATGAAGGGAAAGGCCTGTAGGGTCAAGGACTGTAAGGGAGGGCAGATGAAGGGAAAGGCCTGTAGGGTCAAGGAGTGCAAGGGAGGGCAGATGAAGTGAAAGGCCTGTAGGGTCAAGGAGTGTAAGGGAGGGCAGATGAAGTGAAAGGCCTGCAAAGTCAAGGAGTGTAAGGGAGAGCAGATGAAGTGAAAGGCCTGTAGGGTCAAGGAGTGTAAGGGAGGGCAGATGAAGTGAAAGGCATGAAGGGTCAAGGAGTTTTAGGGAGGGCAGATGAAGCGAAAGGCATGTAGGGTCAAGGAGTGTAAGGGAGGGCAGATGAAGCGAAAGGCCTGTAGGGTCAAGGAGTTTAAGGGAGGGCAGATGAAGTGAAAGGCCTGTAGGGTCAAGGAGTGTAATGGAGGGCAGATGAAGGGAAAGGCCTGTAGGGTCAAGGACTGTAAGGGAGGGCAGATGAAGGGAAAGGCCTGTAGGGTCAAGGAGTGCAAGGGAGGGCAGATGAAGTGAAAGGCCTGTAGGGTCAAGGAGTGTAAGGGAGGGTAGATGAAGTGAAAGGCCTGTAGGGTCAAGGAGTGTTAGGCAGGACAGATGAAGTGAAAGGCCCATAGGGTCAAGGAGTGTAAGGGAGGGCAGATGAAGTGAAAGGCCTGTAGGGTCAAGGAGTGTAAGGGAGGGCAGATGAAGGGAAAGGGCGTGTAGGGTCAAGGAGTGTAAGGGAGGGCAGATAAAGGGAATGGCCTGTAGGGTCAAGGAGTGTAAGGGAGGGCAGATGAAGCGAAAGGCATGTAGGGTCAAGGAGTGTAAGGGAGGGCAGATGAAGTGAAAGGCCTGTAGGGTCAAGGAGTGTAAGGGAGGGCAGATGAAGGGAAAGGCCTGTAGGGTCAAGGAGTGTTAGGAAGGGCAGCTGATGCGAAAGGCATGTAGGGTCAAGGAGTGTAAGGGAGGGCAGATGAAGCGAAAGGCCTGTAGGGTCAAGGAGTGTAAGGGAGGGCAGATGAAGTGAAAGGCCTGTAGGGTCAAGGAGTGTAAGGGAGGGCAGATGAAGGGAAAGGCCTGTAGGGTCAAGGACTGTAAGGGAGGGCAGATGAAGGGAAAGGCCTGTAGGTTAAAGTTGTGCAAGGGAGGGCAGATGAAGTGAAAGGCCTGTAGGGTCAAGGAGTGTAAGGGAGGGCAGATGAAGGGAAAGGCCTGTAGGGTCAAGGAGTGTAAGGGAGGGCAGATGAAGTGAAAGGCCTGTAGGGTCAAGGAGTGTTAGGCAGGGCAGATGAAGTGAAAGGCCTGTAGGGTCAAGGAGTGTAAGGGAGGGCAGATGAAGTGAAAGGCCTGTAGGGTCAAGGAGTGTTAGGGAGGGCAGATGAAGTGAAAGGCCTGTAGGGTCAAGGAGTGTAAGGGAGGGCACATGGAGTGAAAGGCCTGTAGGGTCAAGGAGTGTTAGGCAGGGCAGGTGAAGTGAAAGGCCTGTAGTGTTATAGTCACAATAGGCTTGAATGTGCCTAAAACTAAAGATAGAGAGCACAGACGGATTTCTGCACAGTGGCTTCAAACGTTGATAGCGTTCTGCTCACAGCTGCAAATGACTTGATTCAAATTGGATCTGGAGCGTCTTCACGTCGTCTACAATTATCAATTTAGATTGCACGATTTGATAAAGAATTGACGACATAGCGTCGGTTTGAACGAACGGTACTATGGCAGCCACTATAGTCTTAGAACACAAGATAGGAAGAGTTACGAGTTGGGAATGACTCCAAGCTCCTACAAACCCCAAGAGCCGAGGTACAGTGATGTGGAACAATGCCACACTGTCCCCAACCACGAAGGGTCTCGAAACTACCCTTCACTAGGGCCTACACCAAGTGAAATGTTACACTACACAAAGTAATGTAACTATCTTCAATATCTTGAGGTGTACCCTTTTGGCGAGCTTCGAAATCACTTGAGGCTTGACACCAAGGCTCGGGCTCTTCATCACAAACTCATCCTTGAGTTCTTGATGGGTCTGCTGCACACACCTGCGACACGCCGAACGTTCGACATAGGACAAAATAGAAACCGCGCACGACAAAATAGAAACCGCGCGCGAGACACAAACGACCGCGTAACACGCGTCTAGCGATAACTCGCTATTGACTCGACACACACACTCGACATCATGACTCAACATTCACACACAATTATAAGCATGAAATATATATTATCCCATGCCCTCATACCATTCCATACACACACACATTCACGCACACGGACAACAAGCCGAGTGCAAACCGTAGGGTTGCACCAACAAACTCCCCCTCGGATTGTTGGCCTTAGGATATGTTGCTCTCTCAGTTCAGAGCCATCCCAGCCAGCTTGCAACACTTCCAATGCTGCTGCTCCACCAGCCTCTTGGTCATCATGTCAGCCGGCTGCCCCGTGGTCTTCACGTAGCGCAACTCAACTTCACCCGCGGTTACCATGCTCCTCGTCCAATGCCACTTCACCCTCATGTGCTTCGTCAGTCCATGCAACACAGGGTTCTTAGCAAGAGCAATGGCACCCTGGCTGTCACAGTACAGTGGGGTAGGTCCTTGCTGCTCCTCCCCCAATTCAGCCAACAAACGCCGCTGCCACACAATCTCCCGTACGGCACGGAAGAGTGCCATGTACTCGGACTCCACCGAGCTCAAAGCTTGGTCAACCTGCTTCTTGCTCTCCCAAGCAGTTGGGCCTCCACCAACACAGCATATGAAGCCTCCCACACTTGTCATGTCCTCTGGTTCTGATGCATATGAAGCATCCGAGTAGGCGGTGAGGAACAAACGCCCGGGTTCAACACCATCCGCGCCCTTTTGGCGCCTTTGTGCCGCCGCCGAGTATTGCAGCCCAACGGTCGGTGTTTGGCCAAGATACTTGGCCACCCTCATTCCAGCTGCTACCTGCTCATCATTAGGGCATTGCACAACCCTAGCCAGCTGCCCGGTAGCAAACGCGACGTCCGGTCGGGTGTTTACCGCCGCATACATGAGGCTGCCCACCAACGAGTGAAATCGGCGCCTCTCCTCTTCACCAACGCTCTCCTCCTCTGGTCCCTTCACACACTTGAACCCAGAGGGAAAGGGTGTAGCCACATGGCCTTCACTCTGCCCAAAGTTGGCAGCCAATGCCTCCAGGTACTTTCGTTGATGCACCCGCATGCACCGCTTCTCCACATCTCGTTCGATGTGGAGCCCAAGGTAGAAGCTCACGTCACCAAGGGCCTTGCACTTGAACTTGTCTTGAAGCTTCAGCATCACCTCCTTCACAAGGTCAGAAGAGGGTGAGAAAATGAGGATGTCATCCACATAAACCACCATGAAACTCCTCTGCTCCCCCTCGCCAAGCATGAACAAGGAGTGATCGGCCGTTGAGGGAGTGAAGCCGATCCCCTCCAACACTTCGCGCAGCTTCATGTACCATTGCCTAGGGGCCTGCTTCAGCCCATAGAGGGCCTTCTTCAGCTTCCACACTCTGCCACTACCATCATCAAACCCCTCTGGCTGCGCCATAAAAATCTCCTCCTCAAGGATGCCGTTAAGGAATGCCGTTACGATGTCCATTTGCTTTACTACCCATCCTTTGATGGCGGCTCCCGCGAATAGGGTTCGCAGCGTCGTCGGCTTCACCACAGGGGCAAACAGCTCCTTGAAGTCCACCTTCTCCTTCTGCTGGTACCCCTTGGCTACAAGCCTAGACTTGTAGCGCTCGATCTTGCCGTCGGCATCCGACTTGATTTTGAAGAGCCACTTGGACGTTATCGCCGTACGCCCCTCCGGTAGCTCCACCAATTCGAACGTGTCATTCTCCTCGATGCTCTTCAGCTCACTCTCCATGGCCTTCTTCCACTCCTCAGCATCACTACTCTCCAAAGCCTCCTTGAGAGTTGCTGGTTCTCCCGGCATCTCCACCGGAGAGAAGAACGCGAAGGCACACTCCTCGTAGTCACTCTCCTCGTCGTCTCCGACCATCATTGCCGCTCCGGCCAGGGCTGTCTTGCCCTGCTTTCCCGGCGCATCATAGGTCAGCCTATTAGGGGGTTGAACTCTCCTCTTCCCCCTTCCTTCCTCCTCAGCTGCAGGGACTTGAAGGCCTTGGCGTTGCTGCGGTGTGGCTCGAATCCGTGGAGCACTCGTAGTACGGGAAGGGAGTGACGGTGCACGCTCGCTCACTTGCTGCACCTCCTCCTCTTCTTCCTCTGCATCATTGGCCTCCTCTCCCCCATTCACAAGGGAGGATTGCCTTGTGGTTGTGCTGCCGCTGCTCAGTTCCAAAGGCAGCTCCACATGCTCCAAACCGGAACTCTTCACCTCCCCAAACCGCACGCCTATCTTCGCCTCATTCTCCGCCTTCCAATCCTTGTACATGAAGTTCTCCATGAACTTGCAGTCCCTGCTCACCAAGAACTTCTTGGTGAATGGGTCCCAAAGAAGCCATCCCTTGCTGTTTTGAGCCATGCCCAAGTGCACGGCCCACACCGCCTTGGCACCAAGCTTGTTGTGCCGAAGATGCTTAGGCACGAGCGCCATGCACATGCACCCGAACACCCGAAGCATATCCACCTTTGGCTTCCTTCCTAGCCACTCCACATAGGGCACCCATTTGTCTGCTCCCACATGAGTCAAGGCTCTGTTCTTGGCCACACACGCGCTCCGCACCGCATCAGGCCAGAAATAGTCGGGTAGCCCGGCTTCAATGAGCAACCCGCGTGCCGCCTCCGTGATTGTGCGGTTCGCTCGCTCGGCGATGCCGTTCATTGCAGGGGAGTATGGCATGGTGAGGGAGTGCCGAATACCATTCTTCTTCAGCCACAACCCAAACTCCTTGCTCAGGAACTCTCCCCCTCGATCGGTGCGGATTGACTTGACTAGACGGTCTTGTTGCCGCTCCACCATCGGGAACCAATCCGTCTTCAACGTTTCAGCCACGTCGCTCTTCTTGGCCAGCACGTACACCCAAGTCATGCGGGTGTAGACGTCGACAATGGTGAGAAAATACTCAGCTCCAGCAGCTCCAAGCTTCAGGGGGCCCACCACGTCCATCACCACCTCATCAAGCGGTGCCTTTGCCGTTGCCTCCGAACTAGGGAACGGAAACCGGGTGAACTTGGCTTGAATGCACGTCGGGCAGCCAAGCACCTCATCGGGCTCCCCCTTCACACGTATGCCAGCAACCATCTCATTCTTCACTAGCTGCTGCAAGATGGGCAGGGCCACATGCCCCATGCGCCGATGCAAGGTGAGCCAATCACACTCCCCCGTAGCCGAAGTTGGATTGGAGAATGCCGCGCTCGCAATAGCGCCCCACATACTCTCTCCGTAGTCCTCCTCCGCTGCTGCCTCTGGGTTCTCCTCGCCCTTTTGCTGCTCCTTGGTTGCTGCACCACTCTCCTTAGATTCACTGAACTTGCTGGTCCCTCCAGGTTTGCTCTTCTTGAGCTCATTCTCCTTAGCGCGACCGTTCGCGCCATCGTCGCTACCGACCGCTCCATCCTTGGTGCTGATGCTTGCTGCCACTTGCCTCTCCTTAGGCATAGGGACCACTGGGATCTGCCACATCTCGTTGTAGACATCCCTGTCCTCATGAAGGTCCCA